GTCATTAATGGTGCCAGCGCTCTTTCTAGTGTCTCTGTCATAGTTTCCGAGTGGTCGGCTAATATTTTAACAAAATTAGTTCTTGTTGCTCGAGACACAAACACGTTTTAATATTTTTTATAAGATTTTCAGAAATAGTTATCGCAGTTTCTCTAAGAACGTTGTGAGAACTACACTGTAAGATATGTACACTGGGAGATATAACGTATGTTAACTGCCGTTCAACCAACAAGTATTAAACAACCGAATAGACACACAGATAATCTAGATTAGATTGTCTTTCTTTTCACGGAATTTTTATTTATAGATATGTATATTAAGGCCACTTGTTATGAATCAACCTTGAAAAAAAAATTCATATTTTTATCTAGAACGATATAAAACATTTAATGAAATATTTAATATTTATGATCGATCATAAAAATTACATTATGGATGATTTTATTTCAATTCGGTACCGTTTTATATGTTTTAACTGTAATTAAATGAAGTAATGACAATTGTCCACAATTAAACCCCATGTACTACTTGCGGATCAGTTCCAAATGCTTTATCCTTTTTGGATTTAGTTTCGATTGAACATGATATTGACTTTTTTCATGAAATCTAATGCTATTTACTACCTTCTGTAAAAGCCATGAAATAATTATGACGATATTACACTTTGAATAAATTTTTATAGGTATATATTCTATTTTATGTCTTATGTTTTATTATTTAATGACATTAATAAAATGTGCAGCGTTATTGATAATAAATAAAAAACAGTTAACACTTGAAAAATATAAAATATATGCTAAAAAATCTTGTAATATGCGTTATTTGATAGAAAATACTATAATTATTTAAATATATAATGCTATAGTTATTTAGGTATATAATGTTGTACAACGTATGTATATGCTAGAGGTGGAGAACTATCGATATATAGTCTTGACCATCGATAATTTCCGATAGTTCCTCGCTTGACTATCGATAATTATCGATAGTTTTCGATAGTTGTAAAAAATAAAGTTCGTCATAAATATTTCTTGCATAATTATGATAAAGGACTTCTCATTAACCTCTAAATGTATAAAAATGTTCATTAAAATAAAATGCAAAATTTCATAGTTTTTATTTCTTTTAAATAGATAGATATGTGTGTGTATATATATATATATATATATTACATTTATATTTGTCGAAATGTCTAAGTTAACGATTTAATTAATTTTTTCATTAGAAAAAAGCCACTGATTTTTATGTAAAAAAACAAGTATATCGACGTTTTTTGGTTTGAGACCATTGATCTTCTGTCAGATATTATTTGCCCAGTTTTACCTAAAGTTCTTTCGGACTCAGTAGAAGATGCTGGTATACATAAATATTTCTTGCATAATTCTGATAACGGATTTAACTCCTCATTAACCTAAAAGTATAAAAATGTTCATCGAAATAAAATAAACGTTAAAAAAGTATTTTACCTTCAAAAATAAAAGCGGATCTGTGTTTTCTGGCGAATTATTTCTTTCCAAATATTGTCTTTTGCGTATAATGACATCTGCTAGAACACTTTTAGACTTCTCTTCATTTCGCTTTTGAAGAAATGAAGCATGAGAGCGCGTAGTAGCATATACGGCACAGCATTGAGGATAGCGACGGGGAATACCCGTCTTTCTCTTTTGGTCGCTTGGTGGGAGCTGTGAGTGAGAGAGGACTGAACACACACATACTAATCGAGCATTGTCTATGGCCAGTCCCCTCTCACTCAACCCTACTATTATACTACGCGCTCTCTCGCGGTAGAGGCCAGTGGCAGTCTATTCTATATGTCTATGCATAGAACGCACTCTGTTCTGCTCTGTTCGTAGTCGCTTGATCTAAAGCTAAAATTTAGTAATTTGAGTTTAAGAGTTATAAAATTTGAGTTAATGTTAAAAACATCTCTTGAAAAGTATTTATTTTTAAGAT